GAAAGGTATAAGAAGAAAGCAGAGGATGCTGAGCGAAGAGTAATCCAGTACTGCAGGTGGACTCAGTACGTGCATCTTCATTACTCTGGTGTGCGACTTTCCCGTACCAAAGAAGACTTTTGTGAAGAAACTACATCAGACGCAACTAAAGCTCAGGATCGTGTCACTAAGCGGAAGGCAGCACCAGGAGCGCAGCCTCCAGCTAAGAAACCTGTTAAACGGCCACGAAAAGTGCAGCCCCGGCCTTCGAATCCATCTATACTCTCTTTCTTCAAACCAATAGATAAGTGATAACTTCGTATATTAAAAAAATTAAAAATATTTTTTAATTATTTTTGAGAGCCGGGTCATTATGGTGACCCGGGTCACCGCCAAACGCTTCATTTGTGGGAATTCATGCACGAATTAGTGATAAAGGTGATTACTATTTAGTGCACTGAATAGCATGACGAAATCGATGCAAAGCACAATAACTGTTCTTTTTTTAAAAAATAATTTTAAACATATAGGGTATTATTATGACATTTAAAACTACTACAAATTCAGGTGCATAACACATTGTCATTAATACCATAAGTACTATTACTACTACTACAAAGTGCCGTCCCCCCACAATAGAGCTCGCTTCCCAAGGCCAAGCAGCTCTGTTGGTAGTCGCTAGCTTATCCCCTCGCAACTATGTCCAAGCGCGCGCACTCAAAGATCTCTTCGAGCGGCGTGCTCAACAGTATGTTGAACTCACTGTCGCGCACCAACGAGTCAACTCTCACGGCCAAGAAGGCGGAGGCGCAGGTTGCCAAACTCACGGCCGGCCGTGGCCAGACTATCTCTGTGGACGAAAACTCAGCCGCGCCCGATGCCGCCATTGCCCAGTTCCTCCAGGATATGCGCGCTGTCATCGACGAAAAGGGATTCGGTGCCAATGTGGAGGTGGAACTGCGGCTCGGTCGCATCTCATCTTGTCTGCAGGACGCACGCTGCCGTCCTTCGCAGGAGGGCGTGGACGCCGCCGTCGTGCTTTCAGACGAGCAGATGAAGGCTGTAGGTGCCAAGTTCGTGCCCGGTGTAACCGAGATGGACTACAAGAGCTTCGTGCGTGGTGTAGAAGGCATGCTGCGTGGAGACGCGTACTCGAAGCACAAGGAGAAGCAGGTGGTGCACAACATGGCACAATCCAAGCGTGTGGTGCAGGATGTTGATCCTCAGACCAACATGCGTGGCAAGCCCATGGTGCAGGTGAAGGAGCGCCTCGGGTCCATCGACATCTTCATGCCACATTGCCAGTACGACTGTCGCGTGTCTATCTCATGCGAGTTTCCTATGCGTGAGCTCGAGGGGGACATGAGCGAGATGCCTGCGGCTGAGAACATCCGCCACAAGGACCGCGTATCGGCGGTCGGACGAGACTTGCGTGTAGACCTCACTAAGGTACTCGAAGAGAGCACGAACAAGAAGTTGTTCGAGGTTGAAGTGGAGCTGAGTGAGCCAGCGGTGAACGGATGGCTCGGTCAGCCGGACGAAAATGGCCAGAGCTGGAAGAGCGCTATAGAGACGTCGTCGTTGCTCTGGAAGATGGTCAAGTACTTCATGCCAAACTCGGGCCAGGCATTCAAACGCCATTGGGACTTCCCAGGCGCGACGGAGGCGCAGAACGCCTACCAAGGTCGACTGGGCATTCGCGGCAAGTTTAGTGGCACGATGCCCGTGGGGTTTGCACGCTGGCACATTCCACTCGTGCAAAGTCGCGAGTACTTTGTTTCTGAGAAAACGGATGGTGTTCGCTACTTTCTGGTTGTGGCTGGAGGCACCACGGTGCTGGTAGATCGGTCCAACTCGGCTTTTGCTGCGTCTGGTTTGGACTTGTTGAAGTTGGTATTGCCCGAAGGCACGGTGCTTGACGGCGAGCTTGTGGTGCGTAGTCGCTTTCAGATGTTCACCAAAATGTTATGGAGTGTACTAACTGTGGTTACATTTCTGTTCTGCAGTTCCACCAGAAGGATAAGCGCTATGTGTTCATTGCTTTCGACATCATCGCGACGGGTCCATCTGCTGAGGACTCCCATGTCGAAAAGCCATTCGTTGAGCGCCTTCGGATACTGAATGATTTTCTGTCGGAAGAGTACGTTTTGCTCGCACTACGGGGTGATTTTGTCGGTTGCTCATAGTTATATCTCTTTCAACACGCAGGGGACCTTACGCATCGGGCATTCGCAACCTGGACATCAATCGTCATGCGATATTACCCATTCTGCGCAAGAAATGGGTGCCACATCGCCACATTATGGAGGTGTTCCGCCAGATCCAGCGTGTTCAGAAGCGTGACCACAGCCTTGGTCGCATCTACAGCGACGACAAGCGCGTTCACTATACGGACGGCGTGGTGTTCTGCCCGAACACGAAATACGTGACCAACACGAACCAGGAATACCTCAAGTGGAAGTGGTCGGACCTCATCACGGTGGATTTCCTGGCCACGGTGAACCAGGCAGGCGACGGCGTCCAGTTGTCATGTGGTGGCCCTCGCAATACTCACATCGAGCTGGATTCGATTGTGCGGTTGGACCCGAAGGATGTACCCGTGGTGCACAAACTGGTATCGAGGACGCCCAACCGCCAGGCAGTGCTGGAATTCGCCTTTAACGCTGATAAGGGTCTCTGGAACTACAAGTGCACACGACCGGACAAAGACTGCGCCAACTACATCCGTACGGTGCTCGGCTCGCTTGTAAATATGGCTGAGGGCATCTCGGAGGAGGAGCTCCAGTACCGACTCACGAACCCGAACGGCCAGGAATGGAACAACCACATGAAGCGCATGCGTCGCTCGCTTCTCGAACAGCACAAGTAAGTATTAAATGTTGCCAGCTACACGCCCGCGAGGATAGACGCAAATGTGCGGAATCTAGCTAGCTTGCTCATGAAGCCACCACAGGGTTAGATAGCTCAAAGCTCAAACAAACAAAAACCAACAAGTTGCAAAAGTAAACCGTACTTTACACAGAAGTATCGACATTCTTCAAGCAAAGGAAGAACGAATTTAAGCACCAGCAGCCTTACGAGAGAGCATACAAATAAAAAACAATCTCCATGATGGCCAATTGTCTTCTATCCATAAACCGAAAGTCGCATATCCTCACCAGAGCTTCCCCGTAGCTTGTCCTCTAACTTCTGCCCTCTCCACGGGACCCGCCACACCGGGGCACATATAGTCAGTCACCCCAGCTCTCGCCAATAAAACTCTCACGCATATGCAATTTCCGACAATCTGCGGTAGTTCACGCCAGCCGCATGATAGCGAACGCAATCTTTCCCTCTCAATGTGCTCATAGCACACTCCGCCACAGCTTGTTCAGTAGATGCATGCACGCTTGGTTGTTGGTCACCCACACGATAAACTATAGTTCATATACAAAGCACAACTTAGCCCCAAAACATTAGAGCCAACCGAGTCGTGCAGCCAGCACTCACCTTGGCGCGTTGGGTGGGGGTAAGGATATTCTGCAACTTGTCCATCTCCATGTCTAAGGTGGAGTTTTTGTTGGTCACTTCCGTCTTGAGCTCCGCGAGCAGTCCCAGGGCGCTCTTGAGGTTCTCGCAAATGAGTGAGATTGACCCTCGTTGCTGCTGGATCTTCTTCTTCTGGTCCTCGCTCAGTCCGAGCTCCTTGGCCAAGATGACCGGCAAACTGGTCTCATCCTCCTCGTCCTGCCAGAAGCTGTCGTCCTGGCGCAGGGCCCAGATGCACATCTTGGTTACCTGCGTGGGTAGGAGCAATCGCTCAATCTGGTGCAGATGGTAGCTTAGCGCCGATCGGCGGCCGTGGCCGTAGTCCGAGTACTGCTCTTTGAAATTGTCGATCTTCTCGGCAAGCTCCTTCTCCGAGGCACCGCGCTGGATCATCTTCTCAAGCTCCTCACATACGCGGTTCTTCTCCTTCTCTTCTTGCCGGATTGCCTCTTTGCCGGCCTTCAGCTGTCCACGGAGCTCCATGTTCTCGCGCTCAAGTTGGCGGCAGCGCTCCTCAACGCCCAAGATGTGCTCCCTCTTGCGACGTCTACACTCGCGCGCCGACTCGCGGTTGCGCTCGAGCTTAAGCTTGCGCTGTAGGCTCGTCATGTCGCTTGGGTTATTACTGTCGCTGCTGCTGGACGCCGGAGTTTTCTCCGTCTTGGGCGACTTGACAGCCGGAACAGCCGCTGCAGCGGGGACCGCGACGCTGTTCTTGTGCCCGGCCTGGCGCTTTTGCACCAGCGCGTTATTGGCGCTCTCAAGGTGCCGTAGCAGACCCTCAGTATTGGTCAAGGGTTTGCCGTGCAGATCCTTGGCCACCTCGGCGGCGGAGCGCTTTTTCCCGCGCTGATTCTGCACAGGCTTGGTAGGCGCCGACATGGTGACCGGGGGTGTGGTAGTGGCAGGCGTTGTGGCCGGCAGCGCCGCCGTGAGCGCTCCCGTTTGGATGAGCTGCGCCGAGGTCGTGACTGGGTGCAAAGTCAGCGGGAGGCTGGTGTCATCGCCCGGGCCGAGCATTCGGAACGGATCATCCAGCGCCATAGAAGTAGCTAGCGCATGAGCATGTGCGTGGTCGACCGGTGGGTGGCCTCCCACACCTGCAGGCGCCGTCATGTTCTCCGAGTTGAACAGCAGCCACGAGAACATGTCACGGTTGGTGGCGCCCATGAGCTCCATATCAGCAGCGACGTCGCCGCCAGTCGGGTCCCCAGCGGCGCCGCCAAGCTCCGTTCCGGTGTGCAGGTGCGCGCTGTTGGGTCCCGGAGCGGGCGCAGCGGCGGCCATCGTAGGTGTGCGGGGCAGCGAGGTGACTTCCTTCATGCTCTGATCGTGAGTGGTGGTGACGCGGCGTACTCACGACAGGCTTTCGCGCCAGGGGGGCGTTCTCAGTACTAATTGAACCAGCAGGCCAGTGTACAGCTGCTGGAGCCACCGACCGGGAAGAATTTGGTGGCGCTTTTCCCGTTCGGGCCTGGGAGCTGTGCCGCAATGGAATCCATCTCAAAATTATTTGGTTTCACTATGCCCAGATTGCGTGACAATGACGACGTGGCTGGGGGATGGGAAGCATGAGCGGAGGTTCGATTCTTCAGAAATCTGGCGGCCATGCTGATCTACTGCTGGAAGATCGTTGCATGCCCTCGATCATCGTCGATAATCTCGACGATTCATCGAGCCCAGTACATGTAGCCGAGCGACAATGGGCTTTGATTCTTCGCTGAAGCGCTACATGTCCTGTCGCAGCTAGTGATGCTCGATGTCAGCGGCTTGACGGCGCTGGGCAGACACACGTGCACAAGCCCACCAAGGTGATGTCATCACAATGAAGATGCCGGCGAGAGTGATGACAAACGCCCAATTTGGCGGCTCACGGTAAACTTCGCGGTGTGAAGTTCATTTTGTGCAGAAGGCGGGCCTGACAACCATCATGCAAAGAATCTCCGCAGCTCACAGTAGCCAACCAGTGGTTGGCTACTGTGAGCTGGCAACCACTCACGCAATGCTATCGCCGTCCAGAATCTGGCGCCAGGTTTCCGTCAAACAGTGCTGCCCTCGCAGCCGCTGCCTCGGATGGGGAGCGCAGCGATCACCAGCGATCTCGCTACGCTGGACGATTCGTCGCTGAGCAGTGAGCTTGAAACTCACGTTCACTACGGCCGCACTGTTAGGCTGCTCCTTCCAACGCAGCACCAGAGTCCTCTCTGGCAGAGAGGTTGTGCCTTGAGTCAAAGGCATTGACTGCCAGTCAGCCACCGAAATACAACAAATCTCGTTGCGGATCGAATTTGAAAGCTGTGTTGACGCTCCCGCTGACGTGGTCAATCAGCTGAAGTTAAAGGAAGGTGCTGAACGCCATCCAGGCTGGATTCCAGACCGGGTGGCTGCTGCTGAGTCGACTTAGCTACTCATCGTCAATATAATACATGTACATGTACCGAGGATCGTTGGTGTCAAATGACAAATGGAGCATCTTGTGAATGGAATGGAGCTGCGCTCTTTCACCGCACACAGAGAGAAAAGAGATGAAGGTATTAGCTCTGGCGGCCAGACTTGTTCCAGGTCTTGCTATCATTTTTGAAATCGGGTCCGTAACAATTATTAATATTTTATTATATTTAAAGAGAACAATGATTTCATTTTTAAAATTAAAAATGGAGTTCAAATTAAAACCGACATTATAATTCCAGCAAAATGAACGCGACCGTTGGATGAATGAATGAATGAATAATGGACGTGTTCGCGTAGCTAATTACTCCTGCGCTAGTCTCAGTCTTGCTAGTCGGCGGCATAAGGTAGTGTCCGCATACGTCGAGTCTCCCTTGGCT